AGCCAATAGAATAAAAGGGAGTAGTACAGCTAAGGAAAGGGGGGAAAAAATGGCGGACTGCGTTGTTTGGCGACCCCCGTGAAATGGTTGTTCGACCCCAAATGGGGTCCCGATCCACAGGTTGAGAACCGCTGCTTTACAGTAACGTAGAGATATCGAGAACAAAGCAATGCAGCCTTACAGTAGTGGCCAAAATTGTGGAAACCTTTTGGGAAAAGTGTATTTTTGAGGTTTGATGGCTAATAACACCCCTTTTGGGGGGGGAGTAGTATCATAAAATTATATATCAATGGAAAGATAATTTAATGAAGAATGTAATGCAACAAAGTTTGTTCAATTATCTGTACTGGATTCTATGAAAAGTTATAGCCAAATAACCAGAAAAAAGGAAGCACAACTTGCTTAGGTGGATCTCAGGTAGCTTTCCTTCATCCAATTGTAGCCAATGAGCATGAGTGTTTAGAGAGCCAATCGGGTGTCATCTTGTTTTGGCCATGAGCCAATCAGATCACAGTAGGATTCAGTGATTGATGTCCTGTATTGAAGCCGAGAGGAGGACATTTGTCAGTGTGTTATGCGATCCCTATCTAGTTGGTTGGTTTTTTTTTTTTTGTTCTTTCATTGAGTGAGCTTGCAAAATGTAATAAAATTAAAGTAATGGTGCAGAGAGTTGACTAGTAACCCAGAAAGTGAGGTAAAATAGTATTGTTAAGTGAACAAGACTACAGTGATAAAGAAATTAGAAGAAAAATGGGTGGAAACTTAACCAAAGGTGGCATTTCTCCTGTACACTTTTCCCAAAAGGTTTCCACAATTTTGGCCACTACTGTAGGTTACAGGTATTTCCCAAGAGAGGCTGACTGAAACAGAAGGGAAAGAGAACTCACTTCTAATAATGTGGAGTTTGCTGTCATATGCCCATACAGCTAGCCCTGGAGTTACAACCGTTCTTTTAGTGTCCATTCCAAGTGACAAACAGCACTGGAAAAAAGTGACTGAGGCCCATTTTTTACACTTAGGACCGTTGCAGCATCCCCATGGTCACGTGATCAAAAATCAGACGCTTGTCAACGGGTTCATATTTATGACAGTTGCAATGTCCCAGGGTCATGTGATCCTAATAATAATAATAATAATAATAATAATAAAGTTGGAAGGGACCTTGGAGGTCATCTAGTCCAACCCCCTGCTCAGGCAGGAAACCCTATACCACAGGGGTGTCAAACTCAATTTCATTGAGGGTCGCATCAGCATTGTGGTTGCCCCTGGAGGGCTGGGTGGGTATGGCCAGGTGGGTGCAGCCTACTGGGTGGGCATGGATGGAGTGGGTGTGGCCTACTGGGTGGGCATGGCCAGCTTTACATGGTTCGCGTCAAGTGTGCCTGTGGGGGCCTGGGCAGGAGTGAGGGTCTAAGGGACAGATCTGAGGGTCTCTGGCAGACAGGGATGAGACCGGGGCAAGCGCCAAGGCATGGTCCATTTCTTCATTTCTCACAAAGGGTGACACCTCCCGAGCATGCACCCAGGGGGCAGGGCAGACATGGCAGGGGCTGGTTTCTCGCTGTTTCCGGATGGCCTTGTGGGGCTAAGACTGAATACGTTTCAGCATAGATGGCCACCACAAAATTGTACATTGGCTCCCGGCCGGCCAGGGCCAGGGCCACGGCAGAGGGGGCCGTTCCCTCACTGTTTCCAGGATGGTTTTGCGGGCCACATGAAACCACTTCGCGGGCCGCATCTGGCCCCCCGGACCTTGTGTTTTACATATCTGCTATACCATTTCAGACAAATGGCTGTCCAGTTTCTTCTTAAAAGCTTCCAGTGTTGGAGCATTCACCGCTTCTGGAGGCAGGTTGTTCCGCTGGTTAATCGTTCTGTCAGGAAGTTTCTCCTTAGTTCTAGGTTGCTTCTCTCCTTGATCCTAACCCTAACCCTTTTGTGACCTTCTAATGGGGAACCCAGATTCAGTTAACAACCGTGTTACTAACTTAACTGCAGTGATTCCCTTAACAACTGTGGCGAGAAAAGTGGTAAAATGGGGTAAAATTCACTTAACAACTGTCTCACTTAGCAACATAATTTTTGGGCTCAATTGTGGTCGTAAGTCGAGGAGTTACGACCTGGGTGAAATATACATAGAAAAGCAATTAATTCCCACACACTACCACATCAATTCTATGACATGTGCAGAGGAAAGATCTTGATAAGTACTTACTAAACAGTAATGGGGGCATTTGAATTTTTCTCCAGAACTTTGTCCTGCAAGAATGCACTCTCTGTTTCCAAACTAGAGGTGGATGACTAGAGAGATTGTTCCCACAAACAATTGGGCCTTTGGCTAATTTATGTGAAATGCTAGAAAAATAGCCCCGGAGTTTAAATGGCAGCCCCTGCGATTGTTATCTTGCTGCTGCCTCAGAATATTTATATGAAATAGAACACAGTCTCCTTTCTTCTGCTTTGGACTTTCAAATAAGTACAGGTAGTCCTCGACTTACGACCAATATCGAGCCCAAAATTTTTGTTGCTAAGTGAGACATTTGTTAAGTGAGTTTTGCCCTGTTTCGCAAGCTTTTTTGCCACCGTTGTAAGGTGAATCACTGTGGGTTTTTTGAATTGGTGACACTGCTAGTCAGAAGGTCGCAAAAGGGGATCATGTGGATCCCGGGACACTGCAACCCGTCATAAACATGAACCAGTTGCCAAGGGTTTGAATTTTGATCCCGTGACCCTGGGGACGCTGCAAGGGTCATCCGTCTGAAAAAAGGTCACTTTTTTTCAGTGCTGTTGTAACTTGGAATAGTCATTAAATGAACAGATGTAATTCGAGGACTACCTGCAGGGGCATATAAGACAGCAAACTCCACATGAGAAGTGGGGTCTCTTTCCCTTGTGTTTCAGTCAGTCCCATGAGGGGCAGCAAACCAGGAAATTAACTCCCCAGAAAGGCTTAAGACAGTGGTTCTCAACCTGTGGGTCGGGACCCCATTTGGGGTCAAACGACTATTTCACCGGGGTCGCCAAACAACGCAGTCTGCCATTTTTTCCCCCTTTTCCTTAGCTGTACTACTCCCTTTTATTCTATTGGCTTTTGAAAGCCAATAGAATAGACTCTCTTGAATAGAGTCTAATTCTATTGGCTTTCAAAAGCCAATAGGAATTGTCCAGGCTGTCTCTGCCCTGCTGAGCCCGCCAAAAGCCCCAGTCTGTAAACGGTGCTGCAAGTTGTCTGCAGCGAAGGCGAGCTGTCTGGAAGCTTCCACCCCTCCCTGCTGAGCAACTACTAAAAATGTAAGTAAAAGAGGGCCAGGGGTGGGAGATGGGAGGCCGGCGGGCGCAGGGAAGGTTGCTGGCGCGTGTGGGGCTCAGCAGGTGCCTTATCTCCCTTGGGCTGGGCCAGCTGGTGGCCCAGCCGTTGGTCGGCCTGCACTGTCTCTGCCGCTTGCCACCTATGAAGGGGGCAGCACCACACATGCGCGGCGCTCCCGGTAGGGAAAGTCCTCGACTTACGACCGGTTGGGTAGTCCTCGACTTACGACCGGTTGGGGGTCGCAGCATTAAAAAGGTTGAGAACCACTGGCTTAAGACTTTTATGGCGGTTGCCTAGAATAGCAGAATCTTGCAAGATGGATGGTGCCGTTTTCCTTCTCTCTCTCATACCTCCATGAATTAAGGGGGGGGGGGGAAATCACTCTCAGCAGCTTTCAAATGTTATCTGGACATTCTGGATTTAAAAAAAAAAAATGTTTTCAACCTAGGGAAGATGGCCCACATTTCCATCATGGTTTGCTTATTCATTTTTATCAGACCTTTATTATTTTTATCAATAAGCAAGGCAGCAAATATACTTAATGTTCCTTCCTCCTCCTATTTTCCTCACAATAACAACAACACTGTGAGGTGGGGAGGAGCGAGAAAGAGGGAGAGAGGGAGAGAGAGAGGGAGAGGGGGAGAGGGGGAGAGGGGGAGGGAGGGAGGAGGGGAGGAGGGGAGGGAGGGAGTGAGAGGGAGGGAAGGAGAGAGGGAGGGAGAGAGGGAGGGAGGGAGAAAGGGAGAGTGAGGGGAGGGAGAGAGGGAGGGAGAAAGGGAGAGAGAGGGGGAGGGAGGGAGTGAGAGGGAGGGAAGGAGAGAGGGAGGGAGAGAGGGAGGGAGGGAGAAAGGGAGAGTGAGGGGAGGGAGAGAGGGAGGGAGAAAGGGAGAGAGAGGGGGAGGGAGGGAGTGAGAGGGAGGGAAGGAGAGAGGGAGGGAGAGAGGGAGGGAGGGAGAAAGGGAGAGTGAGGGGAGGGAGAGAGGGAGGGAGAAAGGGAGAGAGAGGGGGAGGGAGGGAGTGAGAGGGAGGGAAGGAGAGAGGGAGAGAGAGAGAGAAAGAGAGAATCTGGTCCAACTCCAAAGTCTGCTTTCATGCCTAAGGGCAAACTAGAACTCACAAGTCTCCTGGTGATTGACCCAAAGTCACCCAACTGGCTTTCATGCCTAAAGCCGGATTTTTGATCAGTCTCCTTCTCTGGTTAATCTACCTTATAGGGTTGTTGTTGTCGGAAAGCATGCGGAGGAAGGAGTATTACCATGTTCTCTGTCTTGAGTACATAAAGTAATTATGAAGTAATAAAGGCAGGATTTAAAAAAATCTACTCATAAAAGAAATACAAATAAAGAAACCACCTGTCAATATACGGACCTCCAGTAGGTGGCTACAGAGAGAGAGAGAGAGAGAGAGAGAGACGCTCTTCTGACGGATTTTTTCCCCTCCCCTCCGGAGGCCGCCCGGATTCTTGCCGGTCCTCCCTCACCCCAACTCGCCCCCGAGGCGGCTCCTTACCTCCGCCGAACCAAGGCCGGGCTCCGTCGCTCCCCGAGCGGCCGCAGGAGGGCGAGATCGGCCCGCGGAGCGGAGGCCAGAAGCAGCCGCGGGGGCTGCTCCGCCGCCTTGTCGGAGAAGGGAGCGTGGCCTGAGCTGACGCAAGGCGCCCGGCTGCCTATAAAAGGCGACCGCGGCGCCCTCCGCCTTTAAACCATCAGCGTCTGGTTTTTCGTGGACGTGGAGACTCGCAGCAGCTCCTTCTCAAATGGGCTCGGTCGCCTAGCGGTTGCTTTCCTGAGCCAGGTCACCTGTGGTCTCAAGCCGTCGGGATTCTGCTGGGCGCAGCACTAAGACTCCAAGGTAAGGTGGGGAGGGGGGCTTCTTTGCAAACTCCCCCCCCTTCCCCCAGTTTTCTGCCTTCGGTCCCGGAGAATTCCCACGTTGGGGTGTGAGAGAGAAAGCGCCTTTCTCGCGCGTGGAAGCCACTGGCGAAGAACGCCTTAACTTGCTGGGGAAGGCGCGTGTGGTTGCGTTCACACGATCCCCCAAACTCGACCCGCGTCAGGCACCGGTGATACGTTGGAGCGGTTGGGCGTGGGACCCCTAGGTTGATCGGCGGCTCGGGACAAGGGTTGAACTCGCAAAGGAGAGCAAGGGGAAACGTGTCAGGCGAATCCAGACCCTTTGCGGCACACAGACAACCGGGAATCCTCAAGGCCCGGCCATGTTTTCGGACCGCTTCCGGTTTGGGACCCTAGCTTAACATTACTACCATATGCTCCGGTTTGAATGCGACTTCGAATTCTTCTGAGGAGTAGGATCCGTGAATTGGGGGTCTGATAGACCGTGCTTACTCGGGAGGAGCGTTACTCCCGGCCTAACTACTCCGGAGTAAAGCCTTATAAAGTTCAATTCGGTTTCTTTCCATGGCAAGCGCGTGTTGGACAGTCCCAGCCGAAGTCCCGTGAACTTAGCTTCGGATTCGACTCGAGACCAACTACTCTTTTAGGATCGGGGCGAAAACGATCGCACCGTGGTCTACTTTTCGGGCTGGGGCTGGGGGGGGGGAGGTCGTCTGCGAGTCGGTATCTTCTATCCGCTGTTTCGTTTAGGAACTAAAACGTGTTGGTTTCGCTCAGCGGTTCCGGTTCCCATCCCGGCGGGAGGACACGTTTCCTCTTTTTCTCACGACTCCCCGGAGTCGGAAAGGAGGACGTGCGGCCCGAACGCTGTGAGCTTTCATCGAACGTTCCATTCTGGCTCTCTGCGTTCCATTCGATGTCTCAGCGTTCCATGCGGTGTCTCAACGTTCCATTCGGGTTTCCGCTTTTCTCGCCAGCCGTCAAAAACCACTGGAGGGTCTTTGGGGGTGTGTGGAATGTTTATTAAGGTTATTTTACCTCTGTAAATCCGTCGCTTTGACGCGGCTGCTTGCCAGGATGGCAGCCTTGTTTACTCCCCCCCCCCACACACACATACACACCTACCTTATCGTAACGTTAATAGTTAATCCGCATTATATTGGGAAAGAAGTATTTTTAGTGATTCTGGCTGGCCGCAGCGTTTGTTTGGCTGAACGGCTGTCTGGTGGCCATGTTGGCCCAAATCGTGAAAAACGGAGAAGTATGCATGACAAAACAATAACAAAAATGCTAGCTCGCTCTTTTGAGTTTTACACCGCAGCTAATTTTAAAAAAGGCATACGGTCTCTTCTCTGAGTGCTACTGCAGCGTGCACGGGGAAAAAACACACATTTTGCTTGCTTTGCTAAATGAAAAGGTCGTGCTTAAAAAAAACAACAACCCAGTTTCTTAAAGTATGCAGGCGGTAAGCCAGTTTATTCCGGTTTTCAGATGAGGTTTCCCGTCCTTACTAAAAACAAAAGGCACTCAAGAGAAGTGAGCAAGAATGCATATCTCAGCCTCCGCTTCAAACTGCATTTAAGAGAGTCCAAGTGGAAGATTATTATTTTTAAGATAAAAGTTATCCTTTTTTGCCTAGTAAATTGAGTGCTGCCTCAATCTCTGGGAGTGTTTAGAGAAAAGGACGGGGAGGGGGACATGATAGCAGTACTCCAGTATTTGATAGGTTGCCACAAAGAGGAGGGGGGTCAATTTATTTTCCAAAACACCTGAAGGCAGGACAGGAAGCAATGGATGGAAATTGAGAGAAGCAACCTGGAATTAAGGAGAAACGTCCTAACAGTGAGGACAATTAACTAGTGGAACAGCTTGTCTCCAGAAGTTGTGGGTGCTCCATTACTGGAGTTTTTTTTAAGAAGAGACTGGACAGCCATTTGTCTGAAATGGTATAGGACAGTGGTGGCGAACCTATGGCACGGGTGCCAGAGGCGGCACTCAGAGCCCTCTCTGTGGGCACGCGAGCCGTCACCCCAGTCCTAGGCCTTCAGCTGGGTTTTATAAAACCTTTTCGCTTTAGGCTTCTGCCGCAGTGTGCAAAAAGAAAAAAGGTTCAATCAATCAGTCAATTTCAACTTCTTGGGTAAAAAAAAAAACTTGCAAAGTTGGAATTGATTGATTGAACTTTTTAGTCCCACCTAGTGTGCCGTTACCACTGCAGCCACGCACACCCAACCAATGGGCCACACCCACCCGGCACCCGACAATGCATAAGTGGGTTTTGGGTTGCAGTTTGGGCACTCGGTCTCTAAAAGCTTCACCATCACTGATATAGGATCTCCTGCTTGAGCAGGGCGCTGGACTAGATAAGGCAGCTTTGTCTCTGCAGACTTACACCAGTTAAGTGAATCACATGGTCATTAAATGAATCAGACTTCCCCCATTTGCTTGTGAGAAACGAGCTGAGAAGATCCCAAGTGATGGTCACATGACCCCAGGATGCTGCAACTGTCATAAATACATGCCAGTTGATCATGTGACCCTGAGGATGCTACAACGGTCATAAGTGCAAGGAGCAGTCGTAAGTCACATTTTTTTCAGTGCCAAACAATTGTTAAACAAATGTTTGTAAGTCAAGGCTTTGTTTTGTAGCAGACCTGTGGAATTTCTTCTTCCTTCTATCCCAGTGTTTCTCAACCTTGACAATTTTAAGGCATGTGGACTTCAACTCCCAGAATTCCACAGCCAGCAATGCTGGCTGTGGAATTCTGGGAGTTGAAGTCCACATGCCTTAAAATTGTCAAGGTTGAGAAACACTGTTTTATCCAATTGACCTTCTTTTCTCCTGCTATCACCCTGTAATTGTACTTTACTCACACCCTATTGAGTAAGTAGAGATTATTTTTCACCTTACAGACCAAGTGGTGTTCCTTTGTTTTTCAGAGCTAGTCAGCAGTCAGTGATGGCGAACCTTTTAGAGACCGAGTGGCCAAACTGCAACCCAAAACCCACTTATTTATCGCAAAGTGCCAGGGCTGCATCAGCATTGTGGTGCCTTCGGGGGTGGGGTGGTCCATTGGGTAGGCATGGCTGCAGTGGTCACAGCAGACTGGGTGAGCATGGCCAGGGCCAGTCCCTTGCCATCTCCGGGGCATCCGGTCCAACACCGCTTGCTCACTCACTTCCTGTTGCTTCCAAACGCCACATGCTCACTACTCCGGCGAACTCTGCTGGGGCAACGGTGCATGTGTCCACAGAGAGGGCTCTGAGTGCCGCCTCTGGCACACGTGCCATAGGTTCGCCACCACTGGTGTAGGTGATCCTCTCGACTTATGACCACAATTGAGTCCAACATTTCTGTTGCTAAGTGAGACAGTTGTTAAGTGAGTTTTGACCCATTTTACGACCTTTGTCATCACCGTTCTTCAATGAATTACTGCATTTGTTAAGACAGTAACACAGTTGTTAAGTGAATCTGGCTTTACCAGTGACTTTTTCACAATCACCACTGTTGCAACATCCCCACGGTCCCATGATCAAAATTTAGACCTTTGGCAACTGACTCGTACTTATGACGGTTGCAGTGTCCCACAGTCCTGTCATCACCTTTTGCGCCCTTCTGACAAGCAAAGTCACTGGGGAAGCCAAATTCACAACCATTAAGTGACTAACTTAAAAACTGTGACAAGAAAGCTCGTAAAATAGGGCAAAACTCACTTAACAGATGTCTCGCTTAGCGACAGAAACTTTGGGTTCAGTAGTCATACTTGGAGGACCACCTATAGAAGAAAAATAACCACATGCAACAGAAAGCTTAACCTGAATTTGTTTAAAGCTGATTTTTGTTCCCTTCTTCCTTTGGGGATGGCCTTCCTAAACACCACTAAAAAGTCAAACTTATCCTGAAGTGGTTATGCTCCTCTATTAGAATTGGAGAACTAGTTAAGTTGAGCTGGGAGTGGTTAGTTCCGAACTTTGTGGTTTGATGATGATGATGATGATGATAATAATAATAATAGTAGTAGTAGTAGTAGTAGTAGTAACTGGAGCACCACTTGAACACAATTGGCATTGACAAATTCGCTATTAGTCAATTGCAAACAGCGGCCTTACTAGGAACTGCTTCCATCCTGTGACGATATCTGTAATACCATCAAACATCCACATCTGCCTATCCCAGGTCCTTGGTAAGGACTCGATAGGTAGATAAAATGCCAAATCCAGTCTGAACATCTGGCTGACTGTGCGATGATCGATAATAATAGTAATGAAGAAGAAGGAAGGAGGAGGAGGAGGAGAAGGAGAAGAAGAAGAGAAGAAGAGAAAAGAAGGAGAAGAGAAAAGAAGAAGAGAAGAAGAAGAGAAGAGAAGAAGAAGAGAAGAAGACGACGACCTTGGAAGTCATTTAATGTCGGGATAAGACTTTCAGATGTTTGGAAAAAGTGCAGAGAAGAGCAACTAAGACAATTAAGGGCCTGGAAATTAAAACATATGGACGGTTGCAGGAATTAGGTATGGTCAGTCTAGAGCAGTGGTTCTCAACCTTTCTAATGCCGCGACCCCATAATACAGTTCCCCATGTTGTAGTGACCCCCAACCACTTATACATCACCGGGTGCCAGGGGCGTGACCAAAGAAAAGGGGGAAAAAATGGCGGACAGCCTTGTTTGGCGACCCCCGTGAAATGGTTGTTCGACCCCAAATGGGGTCCCGACCCACAGATTGAGAACCACTGGTCTAGAGAAAAGAAGGATCAGGAGTAACATGATAGCAGTGTTCCAGTATTTGAGGGGCTGCCACAAAGAGGAGGGGGTGAATTTGTTTTCCAAAGCACCAGAAGGCAAGACGATGGGAATTCGTCAAGGAGAGAAACAACCTGGAATTGAGAAACTTCCTAACAGTGAGGACAATTAACCAGTGGAACGGCCTGCCTTCAGAAGTTGTGGATGCTTCAACACTGGAGATTTTAAAGAAGAAGAGACTGGACAGCCACTTGTCTGAAATAGTATAGGGCAGGGGTCTCCAAACATGGCAACTTGAAGACTTGTGGACTGGCTGGCTGAGGAATTCTGGGAATTGAAATCCACAAGTTGCCAAGTTTGGACACCCTGGTACAGAATCTCCTTTTTGAACGGGGTTGGACTAGAAGACCTCCAAGGTCACTTCCAGGTCTATTCTGATTGTTTTATTGATTTGCTGATCCAGGCCACAGACAGGCACCCAGCTTCTAAGGGTGTGTGAAGGTTCCCACAAAATCTGCTAGTGCAGCATGAAAATGTGTTGACGCTTCCATTGTAGCTCTTCAAAGGGTGGAGGTTGGTAAGTGGAGTTGTTAGGCTGAATGGCAGTGTGAATCCTAGCAACTCAGCCACAACTGTGGTGAAAGTATGAAGTTGTCAGCTCCTGTGTCCATGGATGATTCACAGCCTTTTCTGTTTTAAGCCTTACCAGTCATTCTGTCTAGGAAGGGGACCACACCAAGAAAATTAGAAGTCTGATTGTTCCAAAATTTATATGTGTGTCCAGCGTCTGTGTGGGTATGTGTGTTTACAGACTTACTTGTTGTCTTAGTCCACGGGTAGGCAACCTTGGCTCTTTTATGACTCGTGGACTTCAACTCCCAGAATTCCTGAGCCAGCATGGCTCAGCTTGGAAACCTCTCCATTTCTCCTCAGCATGGCTGGCTCAGGAATTCTGGGAGTTGAAGTCCACGAGTCATAAAAGAGCCAAGGTTGCCTACCCCTGTTCACAAGTTTTATTGAGACAAAGCGGCAGGATGGCTGACAATTTATTTCATGTTCAGATAGTCCCTGTTTAGCGACCACAAGGGAGGGTACTGACAACTGGGTTGTTAAGCAGAGCAGTTGCTAATAGCAACTGGGAGTGTGCTTGTGCTCTTACTTCAGGTTTCCTTTGCTTTACAGATCTGCAAAGGTTGTAGATACAAGGATTGGTTCTCGAGTTGCTTTTTCCTTGCCGTCATAACTGAGAACGGTCACTAAATGAGGACTAACTAGCTAACTGGGCCTGACGCAGTGTTTGTCATGAAGGAAGCAGTCTTTTTCTGACCTTAATCCCCCCCCCAATATATCCCAATATTGAAATATTATTTGCAAATACCATAGACAGCATTAATTGCAGTATTAGAGATAACAATTGAATTGATTTGTGTTAGAGAAGAAATCATTGTAGACTTTCTACTAGCTAATTACAATAACCAGGCTTTGAAGTTTAACTTTGTTGATTAAACTATTAACTATTATAGTAGCTAGATGGTCTAATTGGTTGCAGATAGATGTAGAAATGTATTAGACCTATCTCGTAAAGGGAAAAAAGCTACTGTCCTTGCAATATATTTGTCAATGCTCAACGGGGGGGGGGGGGCGATATAATGTGTTTTTGTTTTGTCTTTTTAATCCACATATTTTTAATGTCTTTATTTAGTTTTGTTTTATTCTTCTAAAAAATCTCCATTCTCCCCTCCTCTTGGAGTTTGTATTTTAATTTTCTGCATTGAAAAAAATGAAAGCAAATAATAGAAGTTATTGCAGGAGCAGAGACTTCAACATTCAATTTACAACCGATCACTTAGCAAAGGTTTAAAGTTATGACAGACAGCAAAAAAGGTACTTACAACCCAGATATAACAACATGCCCCCCCATGGCCACGTGATCACATTTTGGGTTCTTGGCAACTGATCTACATTGATGTCTGTTTATAGCGGTCCCACAGTTACTTGACTGTGATTTACAAAAAAAAAAAAAATCTGAACCAGCAATTACTTCCAGTTTTTGGCACGTGCCCATTGGTAAAATGGATTTGCTTAACAACCACCATGTTCACTTAACAACCACTGCAAAAAAAGGTTGTAAAATCAACTCTGGTCACATAGTGACCCATTTAATGACTAGCCTGACTTTAGAACTAATTCCAGGCTCAACTATGGTCATATGTCAAGGACTACCTGTATGTTGTGATTCCTTGTCAGCCAGTGGACCCGGCAGCTGAGTCTGAGGAATTAGAGGAGGAGGAGGGGCCTGGAGTGACATTAGAGTAAGAGGAAGGCTCTGAGGAGCTCCAAGACTTACAGTCTGATGAGGAGCCTGGCCCCTCTACTTGCGCTCAGGCTGAGACACAGCTGTGCTGGGAGCCTGAGTTGTACAGTGATGAAGAACAGCTGGGACAAATCCAGGTTGCACAAAAACACTGGCAAGAGAAGAGAGTAGGACAGAGGAATGCAATGGGGCGGCTCCAAAGGCAAAGGAGAAGGCATTAGGAAGCCACGCCTTGGCTGCCTAATAAAAGGGAAGGTGTGGGAGGTGCTGGTTGCCGAAGGCAACTGTTCATGTTGAGGATCGAGTTTCTGTGACCTGTGTTTGTTTGCCTTGGGCATTGACTCAGGTCTGTGAATAATAAAAGGGGTTGGTTATTCTTGCAGTTCCTGCCTGCTTGTTGGAAGAGGGGTTTCTCCTTGTGAGCATGACAAGGACTCACATAGGCTGGGACAGAACACTGTAGGATTGCACTGTCATCATGCAAGTGCCATATTTTTCATATGACATGGCACATGTGCAGAAGAACAGTCCTTACAGAACCCATGTTGCTTTTATTAGTTTGAAATCAGCTTCTGCTTATGTGGATGTTTGTGACCCCGAATCAAACAAATTGGTTTCCCCAGAATAGACGCATCGGCACTAGAGAAGAACATACAGGCAGTCCTCAACATACGACTGCACTCGAGCCCCAAATTTCTGTTGCTGAGTGAGTTTTGCCCTCTTTTACGACCTTTCTTGGCACATTTGTTAAGGGAGTCACTACAGCTGTTAAAGTTAGTAACCGGGTTGTTAAGTCAGTCTGGTTTCCCCATTGACTTTGCTTGTCAGAAGGTTACAAAAAGTGCATGACATGACACTGAAACAATCAGTCGTCATAAATATGAATCAGTGGTGCCAAGCATATGAAGTTTGATTATATGCAAAAGGGATGTGTGAAAAACGGACATATAAGTCACTTTTTTTCAGTGCCTTTGTAACCTCAAACATTCACTAAACAAACCGTTGTAAGTCGAGGACTTCCTGAAATGGATTATTTTTTTTTCCCCATATCTGTCTTAAGTAGGTACTAGATGTATCTCTGCCTTGGGAGAAAAGTGGAGGGATGTGTGTGTTAATTTGTTTTATGACTGTTTCCTATCTTCTGATAAGAGGCTTTATAGTTTTTATAAATACTTTTTAATCCCAGAGCTGTAACCATATTAAATACTACTGTAGAGTGCAACATTGAAGTGTAATATTAGGGGCAGCACAATGGTGAATAGAATGGGAAGGAGGTGTGTATATAATGTATGTTCTTATTTGTGGTTTTTACTTGTGTGCAGTGTGCAATGTGGACAGTATTTAATTTCGGTGTGAGTTACACAGTGATAATAAAGATTATTCTATTCTATTCTATTCCATATTTTCTATTCTATTCTCCAATTTCTATTCTATTATATATTCTACTCTACTCTATATTCTACTCTACTCTATATTCTATTCTGTTCTATTCTATTCTATTCTACTCTATATTCTACTCTACTCTATATTCTATATTCTATTCTATTCTATTCTATATTCTACTCTACTCTATATTCTATATTCTGTTCTATTCTATTCTATTCTATATTCTACTCTACTCTATATTCTGTTCTATTCTATTCTATATTCTACTCTATTCTATATTCTGTTCTATTCTATTCTATTCTACTCTATATTCTACTCTACTCTATATTCTACTCTACTCTATATTCTATTCTATTCTATTCTATTCTATTCTATATTCTACTCTACTCTATATTCTATATTCTGTTCTATTCTATTCTACTCCACTCTATATTCTACTCTATTCTATATTCTGTTCTACTCTACTCTATATTCTACTCTATTCTATATTCTGTTCTATTCTATATTCTACTCTACTCTATATTCTATATTCTATGTTCTGTTCTATTCTATTCTATATTCTACTCTATTCTATATTCTGTTCTATTCTGTTCTATATTCTACTCTACTCTGTTTTCTACTCTACTCTATATTCTACTCTATTCTATATTCTATTCTATTCTATTCTATATTCTACTCTATTCTATATTCTGTTCTATTCTGTTCTATTCTATTCTAAATATTTTTTTTCTTATGTGTCCCAGGATTTACAACTCGCGCAAGAAAGAAGATCAAGAAACATGGCAGCAATCCCGTCCAGTGGCTCCCTTGTGGCAACCCACGACTACTACCGAAGTAAGAGAAGAAAGCCATTCTTAGCCATTTGACAAGGAAGGGGATAAGAAATGCTTAACAGGGTGGGATGTGCTCTACCTTTTCCATCTTGTTGACCTCGGGTGTACAGTACAGATTTGCACACCATGTCACATCAACACTGCTTGGACTACAGGGGAGGGCCTTCTCCAGTGGAGTGGGAAGAAGGTGCCCTTCTTGTGGTGAAGTTTGTGAATTCAGCATATTGTGGAAAATTGCAAAAAATAGATGTGATGAATGCAGTGAGGAGGTGGATCCCCAGGAGAGAGGGGGGTGAATTCCAGAGGAATAAGAGGCAACTCAGCCCATCTATCATGTGTGAGAGAAAGAGGATGAAGATAGCCCCTCCTCAATAGTTCCCAGAATATATGGTAGACGCAGAGAATAGAGTCGAGATTTTGCCTGTAGGAGTGAAAAACAATAAAGAAGAATCACCACATGTCATTCCTGTTTTGGGCCTGACACTAGATTAGTTTACTAACCAGGTTAAATGTGTATAAACATACTCTTGTCACTGTCTTGGATGTTACATTTGGGATGAAATAGGGGAAGGAGCTTTCAAGGGACAAAAAAAAAAAAATGGTTTATGTCAGGGGTAGGCAACCTTGGCTCTTTTATGACTGGTGGACTTCAACTCCCAGAATTCCTGAGCCAGCATGGCTCAGCTTGGAAACCTCTCCCTTTCCCCTCAGCGTGGCTGGCTCAGGAATTCTGGGAGTTGAAGTCCACCAGTCATAAAAGAGCCAAGGTTGCCTACCCCTGGTATAGGATCTCCTGCCTGAGTGGGGGGTTGGACTAGAAAACCTCCAAGGTCCTTTCCAAACTCATTATTGTATGTTCTTCCTTTGGAAAGGATTGTGTGTGATTTCAAAACTTATTGTTACTGAGCTGTATCCCTCCTTTTGTGTAAGCTTGGGGGGTTGCGTGTCTGGAAAACCTCTGTGTGACTTCCAGCTAGAAGTACTAGAAGTGAAAGACCAAACTGAATACCAATAAGACAAAATAGTGATGATTTTGTGAGTTAGGCTCTAGGCCAGGGGTAGGCAACCTTGGCTCTTTTATGACTCGTGGACTTCAACTCCCAGAATTCCTGAGCCAGCATGGCTCAGCTTGGAAACCTCTCCCTTTTCCCTCAGCATGGCTGGCTCAGGAATTCTGGGAGTTGAAGTCCACGAGTCATAAAAGAGCCCAGGTTGCCTACCCCTGATCTAGCTACTATAATAGTTAATAGTTTAATCAACAAAGTTAAACTTCAAAGCCCCCTGTTATTGTAATTAGCTCGTAGAAAGTCTACAATGATTTCTTCTCTAACACAAATCAACCCAATTGTTATCTCTAATACTGCAATTAATGCTGTCTATGGTATTTGCAAATAATATTTCAATATTGGGATATATTTGGGGGGGATTGAGGTCAGAAAAAGACTGCTTCCTTCATGACAAACACTGCATCAGGCCCAGTTAGCTAGTTAGTCCTCATTTAGTGACCGTTCTCAGTTACGACGGTGAGGAAAAAGCTACTTGAGAAGCAATCCTTGTATCTACAACCTTTGCGGGTCTGTAAAGCAAAGGAAACCTGAAGTAAGAGCACAAGCACATTCCCAGTTGCTCTTAGAGACTGCTCTGCTTAACAACCCAGTTGTCAGTACCCTCCCTCGTGGTCGCTAAACAGGGACTATCTGTACATGAAATAAATTGTCAGCCATTCTTCACCTTTGTCTCAATAAAACTGATGTGAACTCAACCATTCGGCCAATCACCAGGAGACAGTGAGTTCTAGTCCTGCCCTATGCATGAAAGCCACCTGGATGACTTTGGGCCAATCACCAGGAGACAGTGAGTTCTAGTCCTGTCCTATGCATGAAAGCCACCTGGGTGACTTTGGGCCAATCACCAGGAGACAGTGAGTTCTAGTCCTGTCCTATGCATGAAAGCCACCTGGGTGACTTCGGGCCAATCACCAGGAGACAGTGAGTTCTAGTCCTGTCCTATGCATGAAAGCCACCTGGGTGACTTTGGGCCAATCACCAGGAGACAGTGAGTTCTAGTCCTGCCCTATGCATGAAAGCCACCTGGGTGACTTTGGGCCAATCACCAGGAGACAGTGAGTTCTAGTCCTGTCCTATGCATGAAAGCCACCTGGGTGACTTTGGGCCAATCACCAAGAGACAGTGAGTTCTAGTCCTGTCCTATGCATGAAAGCCACCTGGGTGACTTTGGGCCAATCACCAGGAGACAGTGAGTTCTAGTCCTGTCCTATGCATGAAAGCCACCTGGGTGACTTTGGGCCAATCACCAGGAGACAGTGAGTTCTAGTCCTGCCTTATGCATGAAAGCCACCTGGGTGACTTTGGGCCAGTCATCCTCTCAGCCTTAGGGAGGAAACGAGGGCAAACCACTTCTGAAATCTTGCCAAGAAAATTGCGGAAACTTAGTCAGGCTGTCGTCACGACTCGGTGAAGGCACTAAAAAAAAAAAAACAGCTCCAAAACCAGCTTCTTTCCTTACCTTGTTTACAAAGAGAGAAGTCATGCATTTCCTAGTAATAAGTAAGCCAATGAGTTTTGACGCTCCTCTCTGTTTGGCATGGCTGATCTCCATTTAGGCGGTTGAATCAGATTAATTAAGAAAGCCTGTGAAAAAAACCTTCACCTCCTGTTCCCTGACCTGAAAGCTTATCTAAACGGGGTTGTCTGAATCTCTGTCCAAGTTTTTGGAATCCTTCATTGTTTATTTTTCCCACCCTGGGTGGAGTTTTGGAACACAAAGAAACTATGATAAAGTTTAACATGGATATCGATCTAGTCTAGCGGGAAACGTGGCAATGTGGGCTGTGCATTGGATTGTGTGCAAAGGATTGTGTTCCTTTCCTGCAGCATTTGTGTGATAATAATAATAATGATGATGATGATAAAGTTGGAAGGGATCTTGGAGGTCATCTAGTCCAACCCACTGCTCAGGGAGGAAACCCTATACCATTTCGGACAAATGGCTGTCCAGTTTCTTCTTAAAAACTTCCAGTGTTGGGACATTCACCGCTTCTGGAGGCAGGTTGTTCCACTGGTTAATTATTCTAACTGTCAGGAAGTTTCTCCTTAGTTCTGGGTTGCTTCTCTCCTTGATTAGGCTCCATCCGTTGCTTCTTGTCCTGCCTTCAGGCGTTTTGGAGAATAGCTTGACTCCCTCTTCTTTGGGGCAGCCTCTGAGATATTGGAACACTGCTATCATGTCCCCCCTCGCCCTTTTCTTCATTAAACTAGACATCCCCAATTCCAGCAACCGTTCCTCATGTATTTTAGCCTCTAGTCCCCTAATCATCTTTGTTGCTCTTCTCTGTACTCTTTCTAGAGAAGAACGATACGCTCTGAGTTGGGATTTTGAAGCGACAGGCTGTTAGTTTTGGAATGTTTTTCTGGGTCTCTTTCTTCCAGCCCAAAGATTTCCCTCTTCATTGCAACCTTTTTGAAAAATGATATTGACAAAACACCTGAGGCATGTCATTTAATTATTACACAAAGTGGAAGTCTAAAGCAGTGTTTCTCAACCTGTGGGTCGGGACCCCATTTGGGGTCGAACGACCATTTCACGGGGGTCGCCAAACAACGCAGTCCGCCATTTTTTCCCCCTTTTCCTTAGCTGTGCTACTCCCTTTTATTCTATTGGCTTTTGAAAGCCAAAATAGAATAGACTCTCTTGAATAGAGTCTAATTCTATTGGCTTTCAAAAGCCAATAGGAATTGTCCAGGCTGTCTCTGCCCTGCTGAGCCCGCCAAAAGTCCCATTCTGCAAACGGTGCTGCACCAGTTGAGTAGTCCTCAACTAACGACCGGTTGGGGGGGGTCGCGGCATTAAAAAGGTTGAGAACCACTGGTCTAAAGCAAGGGTATCCACCCCCGGCAACTTTGAGACCTGTGGATTTGAACTCCCAGAACTCCCCAGCCAGCCATGCTCCACTTACCAACCACCACCCCTTTGAAGAGCTACAATGGAAACATTAACACATTTTCATGTCGCACTAGTAGATTTTGTGGGAACTTTCGCACACCCTTCGAAGCTGGATGCCTCTCTGTGACCTGGATCAGCAAATCAATAAAACAGAGCAGAACTGGAAGGGACCTTGGAGGTCTTCTAATCTAGTCCAATCCCCTGTTCAAAAAGGAGACCCTATGCCGGGGTCTCCAAACTTGGCAACTGGAAGACTTGTGGACTTCAACTCCCAGAATTCCCCAGCCAGCCATGCTGGCTGGGGAATTCTGGGAGTTGAGGTCCACATGTCTTAAAATTGCCAAGGTTGGACACCCTTGGTCTAAGGAGTTACAGAGTTTTAAATTAGTGTGACCCCAATGAATTTCTATGAAAAGGGCTCTGGATATTGTTTATGTCTAAGTGCAGGTAATTCTCAACTTACAACCATAGTTGGGATCAGACCTTCCATCACAAAGCAATGCGGTCAGTGAGTTGTGCCTGATTTTACAATCTCTTTGCTATGGACATTAAGTGAAGTTGGCTTCCTCTGTTGACTTTACTTGTTGGAAGCCCCCTGAGAAGGGCATGAAATAGGGCCAAAATTACTTTGCAACTATCTTGCTTAGCAACAAAAATGTGGGGGCTCAATTCTGGCTGTAAGTTGAAGACTACCTGTAGCAATATTTTAGCTTATATGGTGCATTGTCTTCTCCTGCAGGACGCTTGGGTTCCACCTCCAGTAACAGCTCCTGTGGAAGTGCTGAGTACTCTGGAGAAGTCATCCCGCACCATCCAGGTCAGTATTTTAGAGAATGTCAAAAATCATTCTTGATTGTAGCGGAAGGCCTCTGCAAATCAAATTCCCTGATTTAATGTACTAAGGTGACAAGAAGGATGTCAGTGGAGATAAAATGTTCACTGAATGGTGGATAGAGTTTAGTGCCTATGTATCATCAGTGCAAATTGGGTGAATGTTGACTGGACTAAATCATCGCACAGTGAACTGGGTCTATCTTTTAGGGTGAAATCTGTCATTGCTTGAAATTTGTCTGTTAAATCCATAGTCCATTAAATCCATAGTCTGTTGAATCAACATGCTTGTTCTTCTCATATGTTTAAAGACTTTTAAATCCTTTTTGTGAAGGCTTATGATGATTTATTACGAGGAAGTATGGTTACTCTCTGGAGTGCACCCTGGATTGGTTTGCACTCATGCTGTGTTATCAAGCATTGCATTGTGATTGCTTGTCTTGTAGTATTCTCTGTTCTATTTTGAATTTGGGTGAGCTGACACCTAGGAGTATTGTTTAAGCAAAAGTTGGTTGTATTCAGACCCACCAAGAGAGTGGTTGAGATTGTCAGTAGACAATTCTAATTCAACGACTGTAAACTAGGTGGGACCAGCTTTTTGCTCCCTATAAAATTCAGAGGCTGGCTTGTTGATTCAGTACTCAGAACGTTCGAACACTCTATATTATTAGCTATTTGATTTTGCTATCAGGTGCATGAACATCTAAGCGCACACTTTTTTGCTTGCACGTGAAAAGGTGGCTTCATGGAGAAAGATTGAAATGTACAGGGAGTCCTCAACTTGTGACAAGTCACTTAGCGACCATTCAAAGTTATGGTGGATCCCCTGGGGGTATCTATGAGCTAAACTGAAAGTTCCAACAATCTCGCCACTCCATCACAGGAATCATGTGACCCAGTGGTGGGATTCAGCCAGTTCGCATCAGTTCAGGAGAAATGGTAGCTAAATTTTGCTGAGTTCGGAGAACTGGCTTAATGCACAGTGCTTCCGGAAGTCCAGTCTAGGCCTTGGAGGTCTGGAGAAGGCCTCCCAGGCCTAGAACGGCCTGCCAGAAGTGCATGAATGCCACTTCCGGAAGTCCGTTCTAGGCCTCGGAGGCCCAGGCCTGCATCCAATAAGAGAACTAGTTGTCCAGGTATTTGAATCTCACTGCTGATGTGACCGCACTTTGAGCCCTCAGCAACTGGGCCACGTTTTCATTTGACCACATTTTATTACGGTTTTGCTGAAAATCCAACATCTACTTCTGGGTTTTGGCAAAACCATGCCCATAGCAAGCTAATGACTTAATGACTCCAGATTGGTTTAATAACTATGGTGATGATTCTCTTAACAACCGCTACAAAAAAAACCCCAGTAAATTGGGTCGGTCTCCTGGATGATCCGATTGACAATTATCACAAGTTATGATTCTGATGGGCAGGTTCCATTGGAGGAACTATAGCAGTTTACAGAGCCCATGACCAATTTCAATAAACTACTGAGTTGGCTGGCATAGTAGCGTGGTGACCTAGTGGTGAAGATGCTCACCTCCCACTCAGAAGATTGAAAGTTCAATTCTAGGAAGGGCAGATGTTTCTCTCCTAGAGCGCAAATAAATAATAATTGCTGTGAACTCTGTGTAGGCATCAGGAAGGTCATCCGGCATCCGGCCAGTCAATACTCAGCTCTGGTCAGTTGCTCTGACTCTACCCAAATTAAGGGATTTGTTGTTGTTAATTGCGAAGTCGTATCTGACCCATTGTGACCCCATGGACAACGTTCTTCCAGGCCTTCCTGTCCTCTACCATCTTCTGGAGTCCATTTAAGTTCATGCCTACTGCTTCAGTGACACCATCCAGCCACCTCATTCTCTGTCGTCCCCTTCTTCTATTGCCCTCCATCTTTCCCAGCATTAGGCTCTTCTCCAGTGAGTCTTTCCTTCTCATTAGGTGGCCAAAGTATTTGAGTTTCAACTTCAGGATCTGGCTTTCTAAAGAGCAGTCGGGGTTGATCTCCTCTAGGACTGACCAGTTTGAACACCTTGCAATCCAAGGGACTCGCAGGAGTCTTCTCCAGCACCATAGTTCAAAAACCTCAATTCTTTTCCGCTCAGCCTTTCTTATGGTCCAACTTTCACATCCATACATTGCAACTGGGAAAACCATGGCCTTGACTATACGCACTTTTGTTGGCAGGGTGACGTCTCTGCTTTTTCGTATGCTGTCTAGATTTGCCATAGCTTTCCTCCCCAGGAGCAAGCGTCCCTTAATTTCTTGGGTGCAGCCCCCATCTGAAGTGATCTTGGAGCCCAGGAAAATAAAATCTGTCAATACCTGCCATGAAAACCCCATGGACAGTACTAAAAGGCAAAAAATTAAGGGATTACAGAGTTGTAAAAAGAAAAAAAGTTGCATGGCATGTCATTTCTTATAGAAATAGGAGAATTTGGGGGGAAGTAAATCCACCTGAATTTTCTGCTTTCTTTGCACATCTTTAATTTTGGTTTCAGTTAAGAGGAAGGAGATTCTAGCTAAATTCAAAGATGCCAAATTGACTCCCTGCCATTTGAGTGCAGCTGATGAGCTGGTCTCAGGCCCTTCTTTGGCCAAAATATTACATCTATCTGACTCTTTTGTTACACCTTCCTTTGGTTAAAGAAGGGGATGAAAATGTCCTTGTGTGATGACACTGATTGGCAGGAGAGTAAATAATTCAAAATACCTTCAGTTCTTTCACTTGGGATTATCTAAGGCAAGAAGGATGGATCTAAGAAAGTTTGAGCATAAGCAAAAATCTCATTGGCAGAGATTTTGCTGGCTGGCCTTCTCTAAATTAAACTGAAAGCTGATATGCTATGGGAATATTGCATTCTGCAGTCATTTTTTTTCTCCTGCGTGTTCACTCTGGTCAAGAAGGAGAATACATATAGTTCTCACTTTACAGCCATAATGGAGTCCTCCAATTACGGTTGTAAAGTGGGTTGTCACGTGACCAGATCTGATTTTACTACGTTTTTTGTGGCAGTCATTTAATCAAATGTCGGGTTATTACCTGAACCTTTTGTTCACTAACAGTCATCTTTACAGAAACCTGGAAATAAAGACTGGCTTTTTCTATGTAAATAAAGTCACATGAGCGTAAATGTGGGCCGTTTTCTGAGCACCCAAAATGCAGTCAAGTAGTAGTGGGTGGGTGGGTGGGGGAACTGTGTCAGAACTTTGGAACCAGGTTGTAAGTACCTTTTGGCGGTCTGTGGTAATTTCAAGCGGTTGCTAAGCGACTGGTCGTAAGTTGAGGACTACCTGCAATCTAGAACCAAGAAGACCCATTGTAAATCCATTCTTAATACAGGAAGTACACTTGAGTAATTTTGTGCCAGTCACTGTCAGTCAAACCAATGTGTCCTACCAGATGAGGTGGTAAGGACAGTAGGAGGACTTCCTCCGCCATCTTGAGTTTCTAGAGTACGGGTCTCCAACCTTGGTAACTTTACAACTTGCGGACTTCAACTCTCAGAATTCCTCAGTCGGCATGCTCTAGAGCAGGGGTGGGGAACCTTGGCTCTTTTATGACTTGTGGACTTCAACTCCCAGAATTCCTGAGCCAGCGTGACTCAGCATGGAAACCTCTCCCTTTTCCCTCAGCATGGCTGGCTCAGGAATTCTGGGAGTTGAAGTCCACAAGTCGTAAAAGAGCCAAGGTTGCCTACCCCTGTTCTAGAGCAACGGATGGCTATAAATTAAGTTAAATATTTGGTAAGACAAAGTGGTCTCTAAACTAAACAGCTTTCTTGTTTCTGATAACTATTTTTTTGTTTCTCCCCTTTCTTTGTAGGTCTTCCCAAGTCTGACCCTGGACATTGGTGGGCTAGTTTTTTCTTTGGAAAACACACCCATCCAGTGATGACAACTGTGTCGGAATCTCCAGAGAAGTAAGTGAGCTGGGATTATAGCAGTGTTTCACAACCTTGGAACTTTAAAATAGCGGACGTCAAATCCTACAATTCCCCAGCCCTCTGGTGGGGAATGGCTTGGAGAAGGGCCTTATAGGTAGTCCTTGACTTGCAACCATTCATTTAGCAAACATTGGAAGCTACGACAGTGCTGAAAAAAAAAGTCTGGTCTGGTCTTTCCACTTACAATCTTTGCACCTCTCCCTATGTTCACATGATTACAATTCAGATCCTTGTCAACTGACTTGCACTTACGACCAACTGCAGTGTCCTGCATTTGAGCAATTGCATTTCAGAACCATTCTTGCTAGTTTCTGGCAAAAAGAAGTCCATTCCGAAGAATGGGTTCGTGGTATGTGCTTAACAACCACAGATCTCTTTAACGGCCATAATCTCTTGACGACTGTCATAAAATTGGGTCTGATTCAATTGACGACCGCCATGATTTAACTGTGGAAATTCCAGTCCCAACTGTGATTGTAAATCGAGGATTACCTTTGTTGGATAATCTTAACGTGTGAGTGGGGTGAACAATGCAGAACGGAGTTGTAAGTTGTAATGTAAACAGTACACAGTAGAGTTATGTCTGAAAAGTAACGTGCTCTTATCTGGGGTCTCTTACAGCTCAGGAACCTTCCAGGTAGCCAATGGCATGATCACCTGTGACCTGGCCCAGGAAGTCATGAGGAAGCGCCACGCCAGCGAACCCAGCAAGTCCCACGCAGGTCCCACCGCGTGAGGAAGGCCGGCGTTCCCCAGCTGACGCTTCTGATTTGACCGCTAGGGGCCACCGCCCATTTTCCACTCCCCCTCCCTATAGACTAGTTAGGCTGCCTCTGAGTACAATTAATTAGACGTAGGTTTTTATAAAAACGAAAACGACAACTAAAAATATATATATATATCTATTCCACACGCACCATTCTTTTCTACTCACTTGGGGATCAATACAACTACGTCTTTTTTTCCACACCTCCGCCTTGATAACGCGTTTTTCTTTCATTTTGTACTTGCTGAATGGGAGCTAATAAATTCTGAGCAGCCTTTTAAACTGCAGGTGTCTGTTGTGAATTCTTGTGAACTCGAGATAAAATTGTGGGGGGTCATTTTTTTTAACAGATCGGCCAGATAGGCCACCGAGTCTGGATTTCTGTCAAAAGTTCCAAACCGCATGAAGGGCTACACCACAACAAGCCAAAGATGCTTCTTCATTGAATTCTGGTTTGTCTGTTTTGGAGGCTGTTAAGTTCCTGCTGGAGGAGAATTGGGACATCAATCATTGTTGTTCTAGGACTGGAGTAAAATGATGCTATTCGTGAAGATAGGATCCCTTTCTGAATAGGATGCCTCCAAACTGAATTGACTATTTGAAAAGGAGTTTGCATATTACCTAAAAAGCTTTTTAAAACTAGAAAATGGGAAAATTAGCCATTTAAAATGGAGCGTGGTGTTAGTACAATTTCTTAGTTATTGAGTACTTGGTGTAATTGTTGAATGGAGATCCAGTTTGGTTTAGCAGTTAAGGCATCAGGCTAGACCTCAGGAGACTGTGACTTCTGATCCCACCTTAGGCATGAAAGCTAGCTGGGAGATTTTGGACCGATCATTATGAAATGGTGAGTTCTAGTCCTGCCATAGGTGTGAAAGTCATCTGGGTAACTTTGGGCCAATCACCAGGAGATTGTGAGTTCCAGTCCCATCTTAGCATGAAAGACAGTTGGGTGACTGGGTCAATCACCAGAAGACTTGAGTTCTAGTCCCACCTTAGGGATGATCTTTGGCCAGTCCATGTCTCAGCCCAGCCCACCTCACAGGGTTGTTGTGGGGAAAATAGGAAGAAGGAATATTAGGTATGTTTGCCACCTTGAATTGTTTATAAAAATGATAGTGGTATTTAGATAAAATATTCCTGGATCATTTGTGAAGATTGGTGTGGTGGTTCTCCATTCTCCATGACCAACTCCAGTCTGTTGACAGATGGGTTGAAGTCCATCTTGAAGCTCCTGGTTTGCAGGATGCCTCAGAGCTTCACCTATCTCTTGTTTACCATCTGTGTGAACCTGCTGGGACAGGGTCACATGTTTTGACCTCTGGTTGACAAGTGATGCTGTTGAGGTCTTATATGAATGTCTGAAGTTGAAACTCAAGTACTTTGGCCACCTAATGAAAAGGAAGGACTCATTGGAGAAGAGCCTAATGCTGGGAAAGATTGAGGGCAATAGAAGAAGGGGACGACAGAGAAGGAGGTGGCTGGATGGAGTCACTGAAGCAGTAGGCGTGAGCTTAAATGGACTCCAGAAGATGGTAGAGGACAGGAAGGCCTGGAGGAACGTCCATGGGGTTGCGATGGGTCGGACACGACTTCGCAACTAACAACAACAACAAATGAGTGTCTGGAGGCTGTTCAGGTCTGGATGAGGAGGAACATGTTTAAAGTCAACCTTGATGAGACCAATTGGGTGTGTGTTTTCCAGGTTCTCCCACTACCTCATACTGCATCTTTAGTTCTGAATGAAGTAGCGTTTCCTGAAAAAACAAACTAGTGTGGGAGGTCCTCCTGGACTTAGAGCTCCTATCCAAAACCCCAAAGCAGCATTAGCCAGGAGACACCATTGTCCAGACTGATCTAGAAGTCCCTCGACCCTTCCATGTGAACTATTGCAACAGACTGCATGGAGTTGTTTTTGAAGACCATCCAAAGCTACATCTGCTCCAGAATGCAACAATGCAAACGCCATGAGTGTATCTTGCTGTACAGATAGTCCTGACAATCTTTTGTCCAGTGACCGAGGTTACAAAGGCACTGAAAAAAAGTGACTTATGACCATTTTTCACATTTAATGACCATTGCAGCCTCCCCACGTGATCAAAATTTGGATGCTTGGCAACTGGCTCATATTTATGAGGGCTGCAGTGTCCTGGTCATGTGATTTTGTGACCTTTTTAAAGCAAAGTCAGAAGTAGGGCCATCTAGATAATTGATAAAAAGAGTATGACATGATTTAGTAAATTCTCCAAACTTGAGGTTAGCTGGACATATCTGTGATCAACATAGAAACAGTTTGCTATTGCTTTTTCTAGTTTTCTGTTGCCAGTCTAGGGCTTGGGAGTCTCCCATCCAAGAGTTAAACTGGCCTGATCCTGTTTAACTTCTGTACCCAAACAGGATCAGCAACAGAGCACCACCTGCTGAAAACTGAATATAATTACAACAAAGTAACTCTTAATACCTGCCTTATACCCTGCATATTTAATATGTTGTTGTTAGTTGCAAAGTTGTGTCCGACCCATCATGACCCTATGGACAACGTTCCTCCAGGCCTTCCTGTCCTCTACCATCTTCTGGAGTCCATTGAAGCTCACGCCTGCTGCTTCAGTGACTCCATCCAGCCACCTCTTCTGTCGTCCCCTTCTCCTCCCCTCAATCTTTCCCAGCATTAGGCTCTTCTCCAGTGAGTCCTTCCTTCTCATTAGGTGGCCAGAGTATTTGAGTTTCAACTTCAGGATCTGGCCTTCTAAAGAGCAGTCAGGGCTGATCCCCTCTAGGACCGACCGATTTGATCACCTTGCAGTCCAGGGGACTCGCAGCTGCGAGTCTTCTCCAGCACCATAGTTCGCGGCCTCAATTCTTTTCCGCTCAGCCTTTCTTATGGTCCAACTTTCACAGCCATACATTGCAACTGGGAAAACCATGGCCTTGACTATACGCACTTTTGTTGGCAGGGTGATGTCTCTGCTTTTTAGTATGCTGCCTAGATTTGCCATAGCTTTCCTCCCCAGGAGCAAGCGTCTTTTAATTTCTTGGCTGCAGTCCCCATCTGTGGTGATCTTGGAGCCCAGGAAGATAAAATCTGTCACTCCCTCCATTTCTTCCCCATCTATTTGCCAGGAATTGAGAGGGCCGGATGCCATGATCTTGGTTTTCTTATTTATTTAGTGACCAAAGTTACAATGGCACTGAAAAGGGTGGCTTATGATGACTTATAACCTTATAAAGGTGACCTTTGATGACTTTTCACGCTTTTAACAATTGCAGCATCCCCATGGTCACGTGATCAAAATTCTGCCGCTTGGCAACCAGCATGTATTTACGACAGTTGCAGTCTCCAGGGTCATGTGACCACCTTTTGTGACCTTCTGAAAAGTTGCAAAGTCAGTAGGGAAGCCAGATTCATTTAACAACGGTGTTACTAACTTAACTGCAGGGATTCACTTAACAACTGTAGTAAGGTGGTAAAATGGAGCAAAACTCACTTAAAAATTAGCAATAGAAATGTTGGGCTCAATTGTGGTTGTAAGTCGAGGACCACCTGTACTGTTGCTAGGCAGCTTAGGGGAGGGCTTTGGGAATCTTTGGATTGACAGGCAGATCCTGCTTTCTCCTTCTAAAGTTAAACATACTCTGAAATCAACTCAGCTCCAAGTAGCTACACAGCTACAAACCCCTAGTTGTATCCCTTCAGCCTGCTGGTACATTTTCAGTTGCTGTAGGCCAGGGGTAGGCAACCTCGGCTCTTTTATGATTCGTGGACTTCAACTCCCAGAATTCCTGAGCCAGCCATGCTGAGGGGAAAGGGAGAGGTTTCCAAGCTGAGCCATGCTGGCTCAGGAATTCTGGGAGTTGAAGTCCACGAGTCATAAAAGAGCCAAGGTTGCCTACCCCTGGTCTAACCCAGTTTCTCAGCCTTGGGTACTTTAAGAGGTGTGGACTTCAACTCCCAGAATTCCTGAGCCAGCAGGGCTCAGTATGGAAACCTCTCCCTTTCCCCTCAGCATGGCTGGCTCAGGAATTCTGGGAGTTGAAGTCCATGAGTCATAAAAGAGCCAAGGTTGCCTACCCCTGGCCTAACCCAGTTTCTCAGCCTTGGGTACTTTAAGAGGTGTGGACTTCAACTCCCAGAATTCCTGAGCCAGCCACGCTGAGGGGAAAGAGAGAGGTTTCCAAGCTGAGCCATGCTGGCTCAGGAATTCTGGGAATTGAAGTCCACGAGTCATAAAAGAGCCAAGGTTGCCTACCCCTGCTATAGGCTAATCATCTGTAATAGACTTCCTTTTTTCCCCTGGACACTACAATTCCTTTATATGGTTTTTCCTACTCTATTTCTGGCCTCGCAGACTCTTGAGTTGCCGCTCAACAACGACTGCTGGCCTTGTGTTATCCCCAGCCAAGGCTCTGGCATCAAGAAAAGACACCCACCCATCCACTCCCAAACTCTCTTCAGTTTTTCTGGTATTATATGTTCTCATTCACTGCTGGGAAATGGGTTGGGCTTTGCATGGGGAAAGACTGATGCAATAGCGAGAAAGAGTTTGAACTCTTGGCGGGAGGCCTCAGGAGAATGGCTGTTGCCATCTAGGATACTTCTCTTAAATCAGTCTGCTTTCGATGGTCTTCAACTTCATGCACATTGCTCACTGTTTGCATGTTATGGTCCTTGTAATCTTATATATATAGAGAATGCTGTATGTTACACCCTGTTGCCCAAATATGGGAGAGAGAAATCTTTTGCGGACAGGTTCGAATCTCAGAAGGGTATGTCTGGTTGAAAAGAGCTAAAGAGTTCGAAATAGCTATTCGAACTTGTAATATATATATATAATTTTTATTTTTTAAACCAACAAAACAAGACAAAACAAAACCTAACACATATATACACACACAGTGTGTGCTCCTCCTTTTTTTTAAACAGCAGTTTCGTAACGGTAATCTATTATTTACATTTCCCCCCCTTATTCTTCTTTAGATATATTTGTCCTTGTTGTCCCGTTTTCTTGTTTGCATTTTTCTTCCTTTATACTATACTTCATACTAAAAATAATACATATTATTTTTGCTATACATTATTATACACACATTTTCCACTTTTGACCTTTCCACATTTATTCTCCTCTATGATTTCTAGTCTCCAACCAATCATATCACTTATTCCATATTAGATAGTACTCAGTGTCTTCCTTTTCTTTTATCTCTTTTGTTAATTTATCCATCTCAGCACAGTCCAGGATTTTCCTTATCACTTCTTCCTTTGATGGTATACTCTCATTTTTCCA